CACTATTTTCTCAAAATTCTAAAACCCTTTGTTTGTAAGGTTCGACGTCATACAATGTATTTTTTTTTAAAGCCAGAACATTCAGTCAGGCACCAGTCCGCATTCAAACGCATCGTTAGGAAGTTAAGAAATTTTCTCGTTCGTTTTAATATGTGGACGGAAACTTTAAACAGAGAAGTTTTTTAAGGGTTTACAAACTTAAACGGGGACCCATCGAGTGGCATAACTTAAACGCTTGGAAAGGAGTTAAAGTCTCTCCGTTCATTTCATTGATATTTATAAAACCATCGACCACAGCACTAACCACAGCGATGACGTTCTTTGAACCAGTTCGGACACTTACGTGAAGACACTTACTTATCTTTAATGTTTAAAACTGTAAATAACCTTGTACCCGAATACCTGTCTGATAAATTCGCCAGCATTAATACCATTCACAGGCATAATCTTCGAGGTGCGCAACATAACCTGTTTATTCCGCGACCGAACAGTGAGGCCCTAAAGAAAAGTTTTCGTTATAGGGGCGCAGTAACATGGAACAGCCTGTCAGCTGAGGCTAAGCAGGCCACTACTTTAAATTGTTTTTATTCCGCTATTGTACATTAAGATTTTCTTAGTAAGCATTTATTATAGGACTTTTTCAATAATGTTTGTTATTTTTAAGTCTTAGTTTAATGTGCACGGCTCTTTAGAAGACCACTTTTTAGTGATAAGGATTCCGTGGTTAAATAAAGTTATTACTTACTAACTTACTTACTTACTTACTTACGTCCAAGTATGCACATATATAGAGAATAATACATGGTCGCGCGGAGATATGGAATTTATCTTCGAGTGTTCACATCGATATCGAACGAGTGAGCGCAGCGAACGAGTGAGATATCGAATGTGAACACAAGATAAATTCCATATCTCCAAGCGTCCATGTATTATTCTGTTTATTATATAAACATACTGATGACGGCGTTTTTGATGATTTTCCGAAGATTTCCGACCACCTTCCGAAGATTTCCGAAGATTTTTCAAATTGTCCCGAAGACCAGACGAACGTTCCCGAACATTTTCCGAGAATTTCCGAAAATTTCCGAAGATGTCCGAAGATGTCCGAAGATTGCCGAGCACTTTCGAGGAAGACCCGAAGATGTTTCGATGATACACCAACGAATTTAAGTACAATTTAAGAGACAAACCTGATGTCAGTGAAATTATCGATATCTTCACATGTAAAAATATCGTATTTTTACGTGTGTTCAGATACCACATTTCTCGGTGGTAGAAATCCTTGTAAAACACTGCAGTTTATATAATAAAAACCAGTAATAACTCAGGCCTCGTGTACTTCATATATTGCACACAATGATTCCTAATTTCCTTATCACTTAATGTTTGACAGAATTGCTTGTTGACCTGTTCATTCCGTTTGGGGACAATTCCGCATGAATCTCATAACGTCATGAAGCTTCACGTTTATGATAGCCATTTATTATCTTATTCAGCATCACCACAATCGCACAACGACCTTAAGACTGAACCGCAGGACCGAAAACAACACCACACGCGAAACCAGATCAATAAGTTCACGAAGACAAAAGAATGGTTGGCAGGAACACCGCAACTGCAGCTTTGGTCAAGTGATAACAAGTCAAATGGAGCGAAAATACTGACGTAAAAAGGCCAAGAGATAAATGGAAAATGCCAAGAAAAATCTGGTCTCTCTACTCCACAGACAAAAGATTGTACATTTGTACCAGAAAAATTCAAACAAAAAGCAATGATGGGGGCAAAACAAAGGATTTATGCTGAATTACTGGTTGCATAATGAGCTAAAACTTTCTCTTTTCCAAATCTCCTACCCCGCGTAAGCTATAGGGGGTGGGGGGCTCTAGATTTATATTAATACTAGTACCCATATCCAGTGACAAAAGTATTAGCGCGATACACAGTTATCAGTTATTTTAAGACTGAAATGGAGATGCACTGCGATTTAGTTTGATTGTGATTATGACTTGAGCACATGTTATGTTGTCGAAAGGTCAGTCACTGGGAACAAGAGTTCTTTTTACTGAATAACACTAAATAAAACTACAGTCAACCCTCTCTAAAGGTGGATTTCCACTGTCGTGTATTTTTTCCGCACGTGCGCACATACATTTTACGCGCGTAAATGAAATGGAGACAGTGAAAGGAATGTCACGTGTATACGTAAAAGTTGAACCTCCCTCAACTTTTACGTTTGCGTGTGATTTTTCATACAATGACTCTACATTTGAACCTCTCTACAATAGCCACCTTGGGGACAGAAGAAAGTGGCCGTTGTAAAGATGTGGCCCGCGTGAAAGAGAGGTTTTAAGCAAGAGTCAATGTATGGATTTTTTTTTGTCCGACGTTGTAGAGAGGTGGCCGTTAAGGAAGGTTCGACTGCATTTCATTAACGCACGGAAAAATTACGCGACAATGGAAGTCAACTTTAAGACAGACACCTTTGGGACCAGCACTAAGTGTCCGTCTTAAGAGTTAAGTCCGTTTTATAGAGAGTCAAATAAAGGGAGTAAAGAAAGGCAGGGACCAATTCTAGGTAGACTACGAGTAGTCCCCCAGTTTTCCTCAGGGATAGTAGAGCGAGCGAAACGCGAGCGCACGTGAAAATCACCCCACGCGAGAAAAGGCGACACGCGGCGCCGGGGAGAGAGAAAAATGACTTTCTTAATTTTTCTCTTTCCCCGCCGCGTGTCGCCTTTTCTCGCGTGGGGTGATTTTCACGTGCGCTCGCGTTTCGCTCGCTCTACTGTCCCTGAGGAAAAATGGGGGACTACTCGTAGTCTAAATTCTGGGTGTCCGTTTTACAGAGGTGTCCGTCTTATAGAGGTATCTGTTAAGATGGTGTTGACTGTACACTAAATACACTCTGGCAGAATCTGTAAACCAAAGTGATGACTGATGTAGAGTCAAAAAAGTCATCAGTAGTCCTGAATGTAAGTTATTTTCTGTTAATCTTCAGCTTCATTTCTTTGGATACCAGAGTGCCTCTGAGAAATACTTTAGGAGGAATTTCAATATCAGTAGCAACTTCAAAACTGTATTTTTTCAATAACCTTGCCAGAAGCAAGTTCATCCCTGCGAACCTCATTCCCATGCAATCACGCGGACCGTGACCAAATGGCATATGGGCATACGGATCACGTGACTGTTTAGCCTCGAGGGGAAAACCTTTCTCATGAAACTTTTCAGGCTCTGGCCAAATTTTGGGAACCCTGTGTAGTACTCCTAGGTGTCAGTAGCTTATTTCCAGAAGGAGGAGAAACAAAATGTCTGTCACAGACATCCTCCCCACCACTTGAAAGTAAAGGAAATATTAAATGTTACTAGATTCTTAACATTCAATGTTAATTTTGATAGTCTTAAAAACTTCAATTGACAACTGGATCAAACATTTTGAAAAGCATATATACATATTTAGTACAACAAAACTCAATGCAGGGCTGGCACTGCGGCAAAGGGCTGATTTATTATAGACCAGTCACTTATATTTACGCGTTGCATGGACCTGACTGCATTCAGACAGTTTTTTTCATATTTAGTATATTCACACTCAGTAATCTTGGTGATTCAAGCAATCTGATTAGTTCGCTATCTCAGACTAGGACAGTGAATAGCAAGTTCCGCGCATTTTGTTTGGCTCCCATAACTTTTATAGTGAAACTGTATATGGCTGAGGACCCTGAAAACCATACTCTGTTCAGCAGCACATACCCACCTAAGCCAAATAGGGGAGAGCCCCTCCCCCTTCCCTTTCCCAAGAGAACAACAAACTCTGTCAGCATAATAAAAAATGCGACGAAGTTTCTACTCCTTGTCTCTTTATTACTTTTTTATAACCACCTCTACAATATCTCATTTATTTTTTTCATCATATTAAACAAGCTCTGTAGGTATCACGTAAATAGTTTCTTTTCTATTTAATTTTAAACTAGAAGTTCTCATTGAGAAGGGAAGTACTGCCGTGAGTTGCGATGCGAATAGGACAAAGACAGTACGTAGAACAGTTAAACATATGAATTTTTTTCTTAAAGTCAATAACATAGAATTATGATGCACTAAGAGTAAAATACAAAAAATGAACCGATCACAATGACAAATATGCTTACATTCAGATACTGACTCGCCAGAGTTTCAACATGATTTTGTAATTCATTTTAACAACAGCAGTGCAGATAGACTGTTTCTTCATCGAACAATCATCGTGTACATGACGAGAAGAGTTGCGAACAAATAACGTAAAGACTAAAGGCCAAAACTTGTTTATTCACAGGTCAGGCAGACGTACAGTACACGCCGATCACAACTTTTAGTCCTGATTTCCGAGATAACAATCTGTGGGACAAAAAATACTCCCTATAACTAATCTTGAAACTTAGCATTAAAAAAAAAACGAAAAAATGTCCCGTACAATAGTTTTTGAACTGTTCTTACCGTTTAGGCTGTTTAAAAAGACAGCAAACATCCGATGTACTACAACTTCTGCACAGATCTTAAACTCACATGAGAACAAAACAAAATGGCGAGTTGCTCTAAAGAGAAAAAAAGGCGCGGCAGCTAAGCACTTGCTGATTGAATCATGGAACCATGGAACCATGGAACCAAAAAAATCTCAAATCGCTCAAGAATATGGGTGCTTCCGGCTGATGCCCGGCAGCAATCATATATTTATTGTACGTGTTGTGTCATATATTCTGTTTTAGCATTTTCTTTCCTTCGTAGTTGCTCCAAGCTTTTGTTTAAAAGTAACCAGAGGCTGATTGTGAAGCCATTAATGTGAAAATGACTCTTTATTCTCATACAAATAAAACCAGGAGCCTATGACCCATAGGCTCCTGATAAAACTCATTTTCAAAAGAAAGGTTTTGCACTTAGCCTCGTTTTTGGATTACTCAGAAATGGCCTATTAAAAAATCCTCCTCTTGGTATCGCATCTTCAATCCATAATGTTTAATTATGTTTTGTTACTGACGCAATTTAATCAGCAGTTTGATTTCCTTTGCAGTTAAGGCAATTCTCAGGGTGACTTCAGGCGGGATCTTGGTATCCTTGGAAACAAGGAAGCTGTATTTCTTTAAGATGCGAACCAGCACCAATTTCATCCCCATCTGAGCAAACCTCATTCCAATACAGTTGCGGGGGCCATGGCCAAATGGCATATAGGCGTATGTGTCACGTGACTGTTTGGCTTCAGGGGAAAACCTTTCCGGGTCGAACCTTTCAGGGTTAGGCCAGAGCTTGGGGTCCCTGTGTATACTGTAGGTTGGGACAGTCACAGATATACCCTGTGGTACTTTCAGATTTTTCAAAATGCAGTCTTCCTTGCAAGTACGAATGCTAAATGGAGCTTTAAAGAAAAAAAAAAATGAGAGGAAGAGCTTCAATTTTAAAAGTTAAGTTTTACCTGAACTGAGTTCAAGAACGTAGATACTTTTGTTTTTGGCCATCTTAGCTTAAGAAGAAACAAAAAGCAAACTACTGTGATACACATAATGAAATATAAACACATTTCAGCAAACACACATCTTCAGAAGTAACAAACCGTTAAACAACAACAGAAATTTAAAGGTAGAGTAAATAACTAATTAAAGACAAACAAAAAAAAACATATAGTAGAAAATTTGCATAAAAGAGAAAGTATGCAAATTAAAAAAGGTAAAGTTTTTCCCTGCTGACATTTTTACTTAGCAAAGGTTGTAAATCCAGGCTAATCAGCAGAGTCTCCTTAATCTTGCAATAGGTGTCCTACGATCCTTACGCCAAAATATTGAAATGGTCCCCTCCCCCCCCCCGACAGTAAACAAATACTACCCCCTCACCAGCAGGATAAAGCCTGAGTGTCTCAGATATAACCATGCCCAAATATGGTAGCTCATTTACTGTCTCATAAGAAGGCATCTTGCTTTCATCATCCCAAACGCTGTCAATCTCCTTCTGTAGTTTTTCCTGTATGTCAGCATTGGTGGCCAGGCTATAACAGACAAATCCCAGTGTAGTACTGCTTGTTTCATAGCCAGCAATCAGAAATATCACACTCCGTGCCAAAACCTCATCAACAGTCATTGTTTTGGAATCCAGCATGGTTGGGTCCTGTGCAGCTGCCAGTAACATGACATCCAATAAGTCCTACAACAATAAAGGCAACAACTATTTACACCTTAATTGTCTTCAACTTCATGATATATTTTTTTTATTCACAATAAAATGGAATTCCGATACTTTGCCTCATGACTCCAGGACTTTCAAGGCATAATGAAATGCATGATTTGCATGACTGGGATGATTCCAGCTCCAAAACTCTAACAGACTTAGACATACCATCTCTATACAAAAACAGTGCACCTCATGTCTAAAATCTATAAAAATAAGCAACACCTGTCAGGAGCCAATAACCTGGATACAGCAACTCCCATACTAGGACCGTCACATTGTTTTCACAGCCCAGTTTATTCTTTATAGATACATTTTAGAGCAATAATAGTCAAAATGAAAGTGCCAATCTATCTTAAATAGCATTTGAAGTTTTAGATATAGAAAAGAAAAAATAAATGAAACCTTTCAGGTCTGTAGATTTTGCTAACTGAGGGGCTTAAAGATATAATTTCTAACTTTGTGCAAAAATCGTTCTAAAAATAAACGCCACAACACTAGTACACAGAAGTTGCACACATTGGGTTATGGGCTCCTGCCCTTGTCTAATAAATTCTCCCATTTTCGACAAAGAAAGAACAAATTACAATACTTAGAATATGTGATACTCTATACAACCCTTTAACCCCAGGGGGGGGGAGACTCCGAGCAAAACGCCATCATATTTAGCCGTGAAGGTCTCATTTAGGGTTGCTTGTGAAAAAATATAAAAATATATGTATCGTCTGTGTTTTAACATGGTCTCTTTTAGAGGTCAAAAAAAGCTTGGGCCATACCCAGATCGGTCTCCTTTAGGGGTTTACTCCAAAATTTCCGACAAGCATCCTCATCCCTTTCATATGCAGAGTCCCCCCGCCCCCCGGGCCTTTTACCATGGTGCTCAAGGATAATGATGCATATTGAAGTTTATTGTTAGGATTACCATAAATGAGTACATCATTGATGACACACTCCAGTTTTGGTATTTAATGTTTAAGGGTTTGTTCACTTGAAATGATAAATTAACAGTGGAAACTAGCAAAGTAAACAGAAATAATGAAATAAGCACCTTCTTTGCCCCCTATTATAGCGGAGCCGAATAACCAAAATTATTGTGGAATTGCATACATTTTAGACTTCCTACTGATGAAGAGTTATGGATACCTTCCTAGGTGTGGAACTTCCTGTTTGATTCTTCATGGAAACAATTTGTCGTGCAATGTCCATCAAGTCTTTCATGTCACGAGTTAGCAGGCTTGGGAAAACTCTACCTATTTTATCTCCAAAAGGAATTAAAGAGAGAGCAGCAAGGATAGCTCTATGCAAAGCACTTCCATTAATTGATCTTTTTGCAGCAGTTATGGCTGGGTCATCTGGGTTGTTCTGTGCATCTGCTTTCATTCCAAATGCACACTGTAAAATCACATCCATAGTAAGACCTTGAAAGTACCAGAGAAAGTATAAAACAAAACAGGATAGAAAGTGTCTTTACTGATAAAATGAAAATAAAGGAGAGTATGAAGGAACAACAATCATGTTACTTCATGACATCAAAGCTTTCTTCTGTCCTCGAAAATTCTTCCATTTTTATCATCAAAGTGTCACAAGCAGAGTTCCATGAGTGGAACCATCTGTTTCATTTTGTGCGCACTAAATGTGGGACTCAGGGTGTTACGGATCCGCCTCCAGTCTTCACCTTCAGCAAGACTTAGCATTTTGTCATAGGGTTCTGGAACCTTCACCATAAGCTGCAAAAACAACATACACATGATTAAAGACAACAAAAAATGCTCAATGCTTACGAGGCTATTCACAACCTGCAAGTATCAGAAAGAAAAGAGCAACTCAGTGAATTATGTCAGACTGTTTCTTGAAAACACTCAACTGTAATTAAGTTTTTTTGGCAGTACTTTTATTTTAATTCTTTGCTTAACGAAATCTGTCATTCATCACATTTTTATAAAAGTTAGAGCCATTTGAGTGCATAAAACCACCTGGTGCCACATCCTTTCCCTTCCCCCACATTTCATATGATACCGTTGCCTGCTGCACTTGAAGTTGAAAGTTATACTGTTCAAGCCCTGCAATGTCATGATTTTCAATTAACAAAAGAAGACTATAAACTGGGTGCAATATTGGAATGAATAAATTAATAATCTAACATGGGTGGGACAGAGGAAGGTTGAAACCACTCTCCTCCTTTATCTTTTATTCCAAGTTCTTGCCTCTTTATTCTGGCGTCCTCTCTTTAATCTAGTCCTTTTCATGATTGCAAAATATTAAGCATTGTTGCATAAGTCCCCCCCCGGCTTCTCTCCTGCCGTTCGTACCCCTTCAGCTCCAGATTCTTCCGGTCCCCCACTCTCCTCCCATACCAGCATTTTTCATAGCAAGCCCCACCCTTCCCCGATCCTGCAAGCGGCGCCCCTCTTAGTTACTCTGTTATAGTAGTTCGACTCAATTTGCAAAACTTACAGGCCGGTCTCGAAAAGCTTGAAATTTCTTAACAAAGACCTCTTTGACCATGTCTAAATCAGATATCACCAGAGTAGGTAAGCTGCCCAACAAGTACATGCCAAACACGTCTCCATATCTTTTGTAGTACTCGTCAATTTGCAAATGCATCTGACCTTTATGTCTTACTGCATCGAGCATGTTACCGATGAATGGAAGAGCTGTGGGTCCTGGAACTTTGTCGTCGAAAGTGTTTTTCAGAACGCGAAAAGGTGCAATACCCCAAGAATAAACAGAGAATATTATGAGCGTAGCAACAGCGATTGTCCACCATTGGGATATGAATTGCTCGATCAAGGTCAATAAATCCATATTCCTGCTTCTTTATCGACTCAACTTTAGTATACCCTGTGTAACCCTCAACAAAGGGGAAAGCCATTATAAACGTCACTACTAGTATCAGTCTCCCCCGAGCGTGCCATTCCCCTTTTGGGCGAAGCCCCCCCGAAAGGAGGAGTACCCCCCCCCCCCCCCCCCACCGGGTTCCGCAAAAGCGGCCTGCGAAAGTCACAGATCCCATGCGAGGCACGAACAAATCATCGTAAGGAAGATTTACTAGCATGACCGAGACAAACTAGGCTCCTATACATTTAATACGGCTTTTCTTCCATAACAAGCAAACTTAAAAATGCTCACAGACGCATCAATCCCATTTCCCGCGAAAGTTTTGATACTCTACAGGCGTACACCAGAGGGTACAAGTATGAAATATTCACCTAAACTGCAATTAAAATAATGTAGATGTATTTCAGCACGAAACCCTCCTACCCAATAAAAACGTGATTCGATTGCGAAAGGTTCCCAATGTAAAGTGATTGACGTTTCCATCCGTAGTGTGGCTACCGGATATGATGGGCATAAATCCCATTGTCTTCGCGAACGCGGGAAAATAAATGTCACACATGTGACCTTTGTGTTTACAAACCTTGGTGTATTTTGAACGATTGAGAGAGGCTGTTTACAAGTTTCGCTCGTTCATGTGGACAAGAGAATTTTATTTGGTCTTAAAGTATCTTTAGTGCGGTAAAATATTGGATTTACCCCTTGAGATATGTTAAAAACGTGGCCAACCTGAAGAACGAGTGGCTATTCATGCTTTATCGGAAATTTGAGACCGTCTGAACGATACGCCCTGGGACTTTTTCGTCATCTGCATTGAAACACGAACTGGTTTCAGCGCAGAAGTACCGTATTGCTTGGGCCTGAAAGATCTTGGTCTGCGGTGGCTCAGTAATTTCGAGCAAATGTGGCTGCGTTGTTCGTATCGTACCGTGTTTACTCTAGTTTTCGTCGCCTTTCCATTGATCGGATTTTGTCAAGGTAAGTAAGTTTCTTGTGTCAACGACAATGGTTTCCCGTCGTTTCAACAACTCCCAGCCTGTGGCGTTGTTTATTGTTATCTCAATAATTATTTGTGACTATTGTAGCTACCGTAACTTAATTCATAAGCAGCTAAATCTTGATCAAGGTTCTTTGTACGCAAATGTGGTCATAAAATTACAATAGTAAGTTTAAAAGCTTATTTTTACGTAATCTTACTTTTATGCGTAGCATAAGCTTTATACAATGTTGTTTATGTTTTGCTGTTTGTGGTTTTGTAGACAAAAAGCGTTTTATTGTAGTTAAAGTACTGTATGTCTACTACAAGGATCTCTGGTCATCCTCCTCGCTGCGATCATAAGGCAGCTAAATATGCTGCGATGAGGGTCGCCATATTGAAGCCCATTTTTATAACAACATGAAATTCACATTTTCGTGGAATATGAAAGCAGTCCTTTGTAAAAAAGAAATACAATGCGTTGTAGATAAGCAGGATCCAAAACGATGGTGATCACAACGATATGCCCCGCAAGGTGAAGTAGTCACGCGGCATTTTACGGTCCAGTCCGTAAAATATAAGCTTAAAGGTTACTGCTTACAGTTGTTTATATTTGCATAACAAATCTCTTTTAGTTATTAAAACTTTATTGCCCTGATATTAGAAATATATTTTTTTTTAATGTCAAAAGATAGTTCAAGATAGTGTTCTGTCATATTGAGAATTGAGAGAGTGAATTTTAACTAGAAATACTGACCAGTACGTGCATCACAGAGCCTCGAGAAGCACAGGTAAAGGACCAGATGTAGAAAGTAAGGGGAGAGAAGCCAATGGGTAAAAGAAAATATATATATATTTTTAAAAACAAATGAAACAAATAAGCAAATAAAACAAAACAACAACAACAACAAAAAAAAGAAAAAAATAGGACGGGTTCTCGCTAAGGTAGATTCGAACCCCACACCTTCGGCCTTGATGCAACCTCTCCTTACCACTACACTACTAAGGATGATTGCGCAAGTCTGGTAAAAAGTCTTTGATTTAAGGCCTTTCCCATGGAACTTCCCCCAGCAAATGCTGTTTAAAGCATCTAATCCATATGCGAAACTCAAAGCATACGGACTAGACAAGAACAAGAATGTTCTAAAAGCGTTGAAGTCTCGCTTGCTTGGAGATAGATAAGAACTGAGGAGGCGATTTATTCTAAATGAAACAGGATTTTCTTGCTAAAAGTTTTTCACTCTTGACGATTATTGAGTCATGTTTTAATAAATGAAAATCGAGAGTTATTACATCATTGCAAGAGAGAAAAAATAGTCCTTTGGGAGGGCATGAGCTTACTGGCAATGAATAGTCTGTACAAATAAAAGAGCAATGCCGGATACCTATGGTGCAAAGCATAAATGTTTAATGCTGTGTGCTACAAGGATAATTTTCCAAAGAGAAAATTTAAATTATTTAATAGTTTGTATCGCTCAGTGTACCTTGTTTTTTTCAACACGTTTGTTTTCTATTTCCAATATGTTTGTCGTGCGTTATCTGTGGAAAACGTACGTAATTTACATGGTAAGTATAATTAAAACACTGCCTGTACCTAAAGCTACTATTTATGGCCTTCATTCTTTATCATGCTGCTAAACTATGGAACTTACTACCGCATTCTATGTGTACCAGTGATTTTGCAAAGTTTGAAAACCAACTAGCTAGCCTAGACAGTAAATAAGTTAGAGTATATTGTATATACAGGTAGTGTTATTTTCAATCAACTTTCCACAAGGTTTTTTTTAGGCAGGTACAAATGTCGGACCAGATCAACTCGGACCGCCTGTCCGGGTCGGATCAACTCGGATCGACTGGGATCAAATTAAAAAATTAAAAATAAAATAAAAGTGGACGCAGATCAACAAAAAAAAATTAATTTAATTAACAAAACTGAAAATTTAACCCATTTGGAGGGTAAAAAAGTTTTTTTTTCTCCATGGCTTTCAGCCGCCATTTTGTTTTACTAGCGCCAGTTCCTCTCGGATCATGTTATGAACTCGTGGTTGCATTACACAACGCGCATTCTGTTTCAAGGATACAGATATGGATGACCTAGAGGAAGGTAAAATCTCGACCATTTGCTTCATTCCAAAGAAGTCGCCTAGAATGTATATATTTGCTTATTTTTAAGTGTACTGAATTATTTATGAGAAAAGCATCAAAGGCCTGATGTGTTGATCGCATTTAGATAGTTACCGAAGAGTCAGACTGAAGAGTGTTCTCATTCCTGTTTGTTTTTTTCTGCAGGACTTCTGAAACTTGATTTTAGTGATACACTAGTGAGCAGCACACATACGATCCGAGTCGATCCAAGTTGATCCGACCCGAACTGGCGGTCCGAGTTGATCCGGTCCGACTTTTGTACCTTCCTCTTTTTTTAATTTTGTTTATTCGAGGAAAAGTAAAGTTTATGTATGTATGTATCTATATAGAGCTGATCATCAAGCCGTATTAAATACAAATTCAAAGGTATATTTCAGGAAAATGAGCAGGCTATCGACAGTAAAAAATTAATGTAAATGCATTTCATGGCAATGAAAGAACACATGCCTAACAAAGCTGACACATGTACAGCTCATCTGCAAAGTAGGATGCAAAATGTATGTTTTCTTAGGTGGCTTTCCCCTGTTATTTTCAAGCTAATGGTCCAAATCACATCCATTTTCTGTAAAAGATACTTCTGCCTTCAAAATTTATTGCTAAAAGCATTTCTTGACCCCTTAAACAGCCGTTAAAGCAACTGGGCCAGGTTTATGGCAGTTTTGTTTATACACTGCATTGTTGCTAGGCAACTGCATTTGCCCAAACTGACAGATAGAGAGAGATATTTATGACCAAAGCAAGATCATGCTTTGCTTAATGATTGTCATGTGCGTTGTTGTCATGTTCTGTGCTCATGATAAATTTATAAACTTGCTTCACAATAATTATTGTTTTGGAACCCTTAGACATGCTTAGACAGGCTTGATTTACTGAAGTTTGGTCACGTTTAATTTTGAACTAAACAGGCTAATATTAATAACAGGCTTGTAGTAATAACTCAGTGTTTAGCTTTTGGAAACAACAATTAATATTTAAGTGATATTCGAGCATACTGTTGGTATATATGTAAATTACAAGCATATATGTTTTGCCTCAGCTATATCATACTCCTCCTCTGACGGGTGATTCCTGACTTCATCCCCCTCCCCCAAAGTCTGTAGGGACAGGAGCTTGTATGCTGACGCCACAACCAAATTTTCTCGGATGGGTAGATAACCAAATTTTCTTAGCTTTGGACCTCCCATATTAATAGTTATGATTTGGTAGATAAATTCGTCTATTGTGTGTAAATTTTATTGTGCAGAACATTAAGCCCTATCCACACAAATGTAGATATTTGCACTAATGCACATCTTTTTATTTGAATCATCCTTCCATATATCTACATGGAAACAGTGAATCAGCTCACCAAAAATGCCTTTCTTTGAAACCCCTGTCTGGATCTCTCTGGATTGGATTTTTTTAAATTGATGTGCTTGGCAAATTCTTTTAGATGACTGAAACTGGATATTTTTTTAATCTGTAGACAAATTTAAACTAAGCTGTATTTATTCCAGGATTGTCAGGCTCAATTCCTAAGGCTACAACACTCCAAAAGGTTCGAGTTCTCAAAATTGCACAAGATTCCATAGATTCATAGGTTCACAGATCATCAAGACAGCCACAAGAACACAACATGTTTTCACACACCGCCTCAGAGCACTTGCGAACTAAACCTTATTTCATCGTGCACAAAGTCAACTACATGTCTATCATAAACCTGAATCCAGACTTAAATGAAAAACTTGCAAATTCGAATAGGCAGGCAACAAGCTTGGATACTGTTCTTCAAATGCCAGTCAAAGTTTTCCATCGACTTTGCTCTTTGTGATTATCAAAAATATCAACCATCCAAATTTCTAAACGTACTGCAAGAAGCATTATTTCATAAACTAGTGGTGGTAGTAATTTGCAATTTTTAATATATATTCATCTGTTTTTTCTTTAGATGTATTACCCTATCCTGTAGGATTGTACCCTCTTAATAATATTCATAAAACTGATGATGCCAGTTGCTATGGTAACCTGGGTGGTACTGCCAAGGATGCTCACCTTGTAACAGGTCCACTCAGTGAACCAGATACTGCTTACGAGTTTGCAGGGAGCAGCACAAGTTACATTGATATTCCACAATTGCAGCACTTTGATGCCGACACTTCTATCACAATATTGGTGTGGATTTTACAAACTGGACAGGCTGGGTCTGTATTTAAATATGGCAATAGTGACAGGGAAGTAGGAAGGTGCTTATCATCTATGACTTATTCTTTAGAACTTTACACATCAAGAACTTATTCTTTTAGCGCACAATTTGTTGAACCAAATGGAGAGTCAGTTTCTCTTAGTAATAATACAGTCACTCTTGTCAACAAGTGGCGTTATGCTGGTGTGTCGTACAACCACAATAGTGGCACTGCAACATTGTGGATAGATGGTAATGATGTTCAGAGAAAAAACCTAAAGAAACTGAAATTATGTACAGATGGAAAAATTCGGATTGGTGGCAGAGAAGAAGAAGGCAAAAGCTTTCAAGGAAGAATATCATGCCTACAGATTTATGATAAAGAACTTACAACCATGGAAGTAACAGCTGTAAAAAACAGATGTTTCAATGGTAGTCAACGTATGTATGATTATCTTATTTTATTATTTCAGAGTAATAAAACCAACTGTTTATATGTGAAAGTGGTCAATCACATAGCAGGACAGTGTAACCTAATTTAGTTTATTTTTACTTTCCGACACAGAATATAAGGAATGGAGTTTAGCTCTATAGCTCTATAGCTGAACCCCATTACCATGTTTACTTCATGGAAGGATTATAAGAAAAAGAAACTTAACAAAACTTAGTAATCTTCCAAATAAGAGAAAAGAAAGCAAGAGATTGAGGATTTGGAACTTTAAACACCTTTCTGTTCTACACATATATTATTCACAAATCATTTACCCTAATTGTTGTCAGTGTGTTGAAATAAATGTCACCCTTAAATAATGCTAAAAATTCAATAAACACCACAGCGTTTAATGAAAGAAATATGATTAACTTTTTATTTTTGATATCTGATGATCACTTAATGTGTGAAACTGACGTGACTGCCTCTAATTCTCTATCTCAGAATTTTTTATTTTTGATGTATATGTATCAGTCATGACCCACATAATACAAGCACCCTTACTCTTTGTGTTGGTCCCCTCAGTGTCTGTATTAATTGGGTTACACTGAATCTAAAATTTCAGTTGACTAGGAATTTAACATGGGGCATCTTTTCACACTAGCAAATATAAACCCTAGAAACTGTAACATAACCAGAACCATAATAGTTTAAAACTTTGAGAATACACGTATCTGGATATGTGTTTTAGCATGAAGTACAAAGAAAGATCAAATCAAGGATTCCTTGTATCTGGGAGAGGTGTTCAATAAATTCTTGTGTTTCCCTTAGAATTTATTGATATTTTAGGGTAATATTTTGAGTGGGATACTACACTCAATGTTAAAGCAAGCTTAGGTGAAGTAAATTATAATGTGTAGTAAAACAGTTGCTTTTTGTCCTTTAAACAGCTCCCGTGGACTGTACAAAAGCTTCTGTGCAATGTAAGTGTTAGCTCAGTTCTGTCCTTGAATAGAACATAACAATGATGCTTTTTAACTGGTTTACATTAATGCTTGTCAAATTTAGAATAAATACATTGTATTATTTGTAATGTTATTTCTTATTTTTGTTTGATAGCATGTGGTGTATCTATGAGCACCCTGTCAGGAACATTCTCCTCCCCAGGGTACCCCACTGGGTATCCTTATGATACAGCCTGTAAGTGGGATATAAAAGTTCCAAGTGGATATATCATTACTTTGAAGTTCAGGTGTGCTATATTTTCTTCAGTGTTCAGGGCTTGAAATAACGGCAGGTCAACAGACAATGTCCAGTCAAAAATAGGTTTTGTCTGGTCAAATCCTTAGATGGTTGGACATTTTGTCTGCTCTTTTACCCTTCTAATGTAATTCAGACGTTCACTTTTTTTAAATACAGTTGGTCAAGACTGGACATTATTGACGTTTGTAAAGGAAAAAGTGGCGAGAGAGAGAAAAAGGCTACCAGATCAAGAACTTTTATAAGTTAAACCATTCATAACACAAGGCCTCTGATAGGTCGCAGAAAAAAAAAGTCAAAATTCGTGGGTGGGATTTTTCTGGGCAAATTTCGCTAGAAAGCAATCTGTTTTGCGCTGATTTCACAAACGTTTTTAATGAAAGAAAACAGCAATTTTGCCAATTTCTTTTTTTTTGAGGGGGGGAGGGGGGAGATGATGAGTGTTAGCCTGTGCAATAACAGCAACAACAGAAACTTTGACTACTTATAAATGTTGCCTTTTTAAAACCAGTGATTTTGTGCTCAAAACCCCCCCTTGCTTTGTGATCTCGTTTAGACTCAATCAGAGATCATCATTTGCTCTTTTAACAACAGGAGCTCAGAAATGCACCAATGGTAAAACTTTTTATATCATGCACTGGCCAGTGCCCAGTTTTTCACAATAGTAATCTAAGAACAGTGAAAGAAAACTGGGATAAGTTGTAGCCATTTGGGCCTTTGGCTTGTGTTCTCCTTTTTTAAAATACTATTCTAGTTAAAACCCCCACTGGAATGATAATCTACATTCTTCAAATTACATAGCACAAAAATTGCTCTCAAAAAAATATTTAGACTCACCAAGTTCTGTATCAATAAAAAATTTTTAAACAATTGACCAGAAAGTAGAACTGACGTAGACTTTATCAACAGGGTTTTTAATTTGGAAAAGTCACACAGTCTATGGCCAGAGTGCCCTGACTATGTTATTGTGCGGGATGGCATTAACAGTTGGTCAAAGCCTCTCAAATCTCTGTGTGGTGGCCAGACAGGCTGGGAAGAAGAAATTGTATCATCTGGGAATGTTATGAGGGTGGAGTTTAATACAGACAGGGAACGCTCTGCTCCAGGCTTCACTGCAGAATATACTGCAAGCAAGATTTCCAAAGGTAATGTGAAGGATTTGTATTTTCGTCTGAATGCCAAGAGTAAAAAGTAAAAGCTTTGACTGGGCAACAAACCATAACCAGCCACAGCAGCGACTAAAATTTGTAGTCACAATTACGCAATAATTTGTGCAAAAAATTATTATTATTATTATTATTATTATTATTATTATTATTATATTGATTACCACCACATTCCCGATCATATCAAATCACTGGTGAAAAGTCTTTACACTGACTTCAATACGTCTATTCTTACAAGTGAAATTCGCACTCTGTTTATATCTGTTGGTTGTGATGTACTCCAAGGTGATTGCCTTAGCCCACTTCTCTTCAACTTGTGTTTTAACACGTTTCTACAGCATATTAAATCCGAAAAATACCGTCAATTTGGCTTTTCCCTCAAGTTCTTAAATCCCCTCCACTGGTTCCAGTTCGCTGACAATGCTGCTGTCATAAGTGGTCAGGAACCAGAAAATCAACATCTAATCAACCGCTTTATAATCTGGTGTAATTGGTCGAACATGATAATAAGAGTTGATAAATGTTCTACTTTTGGAATACGGAAACTTTGCACTAAATCTGTCCAATATTTACCCAAACAATTGATCAATGGAGTTGTAATTCCCTGTGTGGAAATGGGTGAATCATTTTGTTACTTAGGCCGCTTCTTTGACTTCAACATGTCTAACAACCAACACGTCTGAATTGTCCTCTCTTGTACAGGACTTGATGAATGACATTGATATAAAGCCACTGCATCTTAAACACAAACTTCTTCTGTACAGCCGCTATGTCCTATCTAAACTGTCCTGGCATTTCACTATAGCTAATATATCCAATAATTTTCTAATATTTTCTCTGATGAATGCTCCACATTCTTAGCCATGATGGATGACATTGGCGTTGACAAAAAGCAGCAACTTTATATAAACAAGAAAATGATAAATATAGCCATTAGAGCAACATATTACATCTTTTGCTGTAGAAATAGGAATTGGGAAAGCCCAGAATTAATGCAATTTTGATTTCTTTTCTTTTCCTTTCTTTTCTTTTTTTTTTGTGTTTTTGTTTTGTTTAGTTTTATTTTTCTGAATAATCCAATCTCAAGCAGCATTTGTAAATTGCCTATACGTAGCGAGTTTTACAATTGTACATTCAAAAACTGAAATAAAGTTTCCATTATTATTATTATTATTATTATTATTATTATTATTATTATTATTATTATTATTACTATTATTATTACTGTTATTATTAAAGAGCTTGAATAGAATGATATAAACAGCCTATTAGAGAAGTGCCTCAGGGACTTCACTATGATGGCCTTCAAGGGCTAGGCATTGCTTTGGAATTCTTTGAAAATTCTCTTCAGTTTTTACAATATGATAAGCTAAGGGAAGATCTAATGTTTTAAGTAATTAAAATCTCCCATCTTCCCCTGAAATAACTAAGCAAGTTCCAGCTTAACTGTTCAAATCTGTCCCCTAATTTTTCCTAAGAGTGCTCACCCTTAGGAGCAGCCATCTTGATTTCAAATGTATGGATGGAGGTGAAAGAATAACCACTATAATCCCCAGGGCTGACTCCCTCAGTACATTTGAAACCAAGATGGCCCCCTGTATTGTTAGCACTTAATTCATGGCGCTGCACCTGAGTATTTAAGTAATTTGATAAGTGTTAGGAAGATGTGTAGATACAGTCTGCAATCGAATGCTGGCATACTTCTTGAGCTACTGAGTACCAGATTGAAGAACACTTAAAGGGATATATCAGATTCTTTTACATCCACTGCTCCTAGACTTTGGTACCCTGCGAGCAGAGGCTACATTTTCGCATTGTGATCTGGTGTGCGAAAGTAGCCTCTGCCGACAACCATTCAAATCCATTCAGAAATCTGGACAAATAAATTTAAAAAAATGGTTTTTTCCTGTTCTTGACCAGTTTAGAGCATTGCGTGAGTCTTGCGTAGCAAGTCAGAGTTGTCGCAACTGTTTTATTCCCGCGAAACTCATGCCACTTGACGGCAGAGCTGACAATTAATTTGACTTGCACGTGTGACGAACTTCGCGCATCCACGATAGAAAATTGAACGGTTGTCGGCAGAGGCTACCTTTTGCATGACAGCTCACACAGCGAAAATGTAGCCTCTGCTCACAGGGTAAGACTTTGGAATAAGTTGCCTTAATTTTGAATATCAGAAATGCAGGCACTTAAGCCAATTTTAAATCTAGTTTAAAGACATATTTATTTCATTCATCTTTCAATGTTAGCTAATCATTTCAGTATGACGTTTTGTAATTTATATTTATAAGGATATACATGTAGAATATTAGCTAGTTTTTATGATTGACGTTTTGTATTCTATGTTTATCAGGATACTTATTTCTTAGCTAATTTTTATGATTTTAAAGCGCATTTGATCAAATGTATGTGTAAATTTTGCACTATAGAAATATTAAATATTATTATTATTATTATTATTATTATGATCTTGTGGGAAAATGTGGTTCTGTGGGCAGTCTAAATTGCAGTAAAACAGATAACCAGTCTCAACAATCAAGTACCTTCATCACTAATTTGACTACCTTGCATTCATACTATTATTTTTTTTCTTTTCCTTCTTTGTTTACATCAGATGAATCAGATGAGAAAGGGCTGATAGATTTTAGTCGTCACTATACTGGTATTGTGATAGGCGTGGCATGTGCAGCAATATTTGCTATCTTAGCAATCATGATATTCAGTCACACCAGAAGGAGACTACGGGGAAATCGTAGTGACACTTTAACCCGCCGTCAGTCTATGCCCTTCTCTGATAATGATGTCTTTCAGCAGAATGCACCACCAACATATGATGATGGTAAGCTTTCATTTCATAAGGTGGTTCTAAATTTTGAGTCTGTGGACAAAATCCTGCAGTGTGACCATTTAAATGAAACCACATCTCAGCAGTACTTTCACATGGTACAAGTTATTTAGTACAGTGGAACCCCACTCTATGGAGACCCGTATATATAATATTATATGTAGTAAAATCCAACTAGTGGTCTATTATCAATGCTACATTCTGACTGGTTGAGCTACTACTAGGTTATATGTTATAGCCCACAAGTAGCGAAAAGTGCCGGCTTTGAAAACCAAAACAATGGCGGCTGAATTGCGTTTTGCTAGTTAAAGTTAGTTTTGACCAACTAGTTGGATTTTAGTAAAACAATTATTCCTCAAGCCCGAATGGCCTCTGAGTCAATGGCCCATTCGGCCTTCAGCCTCGTGGGCTAGCTATTGACTCAGAGCCCATTCGGGCTCGAGGAATAATTGTTAAATATAGTCTCTAATATTAACCTGCTCGATACGGACACATTATGGACACTATGGCATGTCCTGTTTGGTGTCCCTATTAACCCAGTTCTACTGTATTTATTTCTAAATTTTGAGTGTGTGACTATTCAGTTGAAACCTCTTCAGCACTACTGTCTCATGGTACTACAGTCAAACCCCAAAGGGACCACAGAAAGTGTCCATTTTAACGGGGTGTGTTCATATTAAGCGGGAAATAAAAGAGGACATAAACTTAATCGTCAAATTAAACTTCTCCAACCTTCACAAAGCCAACATTACGTGGTTTCAGCGGGGCTTAACACTAACTTTTCAACTTAACACTTACTACTTTAGTGGCTAGTGACAAGTAAGATGTTACTAGCTAAAAAACATTTTTACCAGCCAAGCGTTGATGTTACCTTGTTATAATGAAGTGACCACATTAATGAGGTTGGCTTTCTATGAGAATTTGTTGATTGGCCAAGAAATAACTGTCTGTTGTCTGCATTAACAGGTGTCGGTACTAAGCGAGTTGAATTTCGAGAAAATGTAAGGGCTTTCTCTCCCCTGGGACAAAGCAAACTGTCTGCAATAACGAGGTGTCCATATTAAGCGGGTGTCCGTCCCTGTGTCTGGGGTTCGACTATATTGTACAAAATGAAATCTAGAATTTTTGTCATATGCCATGTGCACTCAGTAGGCAAGGAAAGTAGACATTATTTTTTCCTTTGCCGAGCTTTTCTACCCTGTCTGTTGATTGCTCAAGGGCGATCACTACTGAAAGACCTTAAGATACACAGTTTCTGGCTACCATCACGGGTAGGTTACCACATTTGCCTTTTAGTTATATAAAAGGCAACCATTATTTCGCAGATGAGGTAACGGTGTTACCTTTCCACCCGGTAGTCTACACGTTTCTCCGGGGTAGGAAGCAATCTACCCGTATCGTGGCTACTAGTACACGCGTACATGGAAAAGGTGTATCTCGTCTTAACACTTTTTTTCTGAAAAATAGTGCTGCATTGGAGTGTAACTTTTTTGTAATGTTTAAACCTCTGTTAAATTTTGTTTTTTTGTAAAACATTACAGTCATGCGGTTTCCAGAGCTTTATCCTCCAACTCCCTGTCAAGGATCATTAGCCAACACTCCTGCTGCAACACCTCGAAGAGGATCACCAGTTTCAACACCCACACTGCCCCACCGCTTACTCAATCCACCTCGATCACCAGCTGTGATTCCAAAGGTTGGAACACCCATTGGCATGCCTCTTTTAAACACATGGCGAGGGAGTAGTACACCACCAAGTACATCCAGAGTGTCATTACAGCGGGGTATTTCACCCTTAGCAAGAGCAGAGTTGACACCGCAGCATTCCCGACCTGCAGATCATCTGTCTTCAGATGAGCAAGATGGAGATGAGGATGATGAAGAGCTGCCACCATACCCAGGAACAGTGAATGTTGCATCGGTGTTAAATCAAGTGAGAGAAACTTTAGAACTTAGTAGACTTGCTACAAGGCAAACGTCAAATCCTTCATTAAGTGACAGTAGTAATTCATCTGACAGTAATGATAACAGGACAGTGGGTGGTCAAAGGAGACCATGTGACACACGTGCCGCAGTTTTGGATAATACAGGAGATGTACAGACAAGTCTAGAACCAAATAGAGTGCAAAGTGGTGATAACAACACTGGTGATCTTGATAATCCTTGGGTTTCCTCCAAGGTTGCTCGAGTAGCTCCACCTGGAAGAACTTTACGATCGATTGAGTCTGATGTTTGACTGTTGTTGTTGGACCATGGCCATGTTTTGCTTTGGTAACGGACGGACCTCTGTGTTCATCTTAACATTGGTGGGGGTGCTCTTGGCAGGAATGAGATCATTGAGGTTACCCACTGAAACGGAAGTAAATATTGAGGAGTCCCTAAAGTTTCACCAACTTGAACTCGATGAGGCCTTGCTTTTTAAGTAATACTCATTTAGAGTAATGATACAGTAAAGAACTGCAACAGCACATAATCTCTGCCAGCCGAAAAGCTGAGTTAGCAGAGATCCTAGTTGTAGTGGGATGGGCCAGATTTGTGTTTTGCCCTGCAGTCGGAACATTTGAGACGTTTAAGTACACCATGAAACTGGAAAATCGTGGAATTGAAAGATATCACATAATAGGTTGAGCCGCAGTGAGTTGAACATTTTTGGCTTGTAAATTTATATCGTCTGGGCAACCTGGTATCACGTTTTACCGAGTGTAAAGATAAGCCAGGTAAAGTAACTCCTTGAGATCTGTGAACCATCAGGCGCGGAAATGAATGATACCTTCCAAGTAATCCTCTCGTGCTTTCAAGAAAAGTCAGAAAAAGTGCACTTTTATCAAAGTTATAGAAGAAACAGCACGTAGTTACTAGTATCTTTAAAAGATGGTTCGAATCTTTGATTGATAGTTCGTATGGGATGGGTCAAAGATCATAGCCCTCCAGATGGAAAGCAAAGGAGGAGCCGATAGGCCTTTCCACGGTTTTTTTCAACTTTTTATATGGACAAGTTAGGGGAAATCCGTCGACTTTGCTGAAAGAGCGCCTTTAAATTAGTATAAGTGCCAAGTTTGAAAGCGATTAGTTGAACGCTAACAAAGATACAGCTCCTTTAAGTCTCGAAATGTTACAGACGTTTGTATGGTGGTGGGGGGGAGACAAACTTGCACAAACTTGGCAAGTTTATTCTTTCTAAAGCGTTCTTTCCAGTGGTGTCGACGGATTTTCCCCAACTGGTCCGCCATGTTTAAAGTTGGAAAAACCGTGGAAGGGTCTATTACAAATGAAGATCACTTTTATTATAAATCATGGTGTTTAAAACGCTGTACCCTTCACGGGTTAAGAAAACAGAGAAATTGCAATGCAAGTGGTTGTAAAACGCTCCTTTTACGATAGCACTCATTGATTCTGATTAGTGCTACTCTACGGTCAAACGCTGACATACAAATCATGTGAAAAGGATAATTGCCCGAGTTTGCCCATCTTGAAGAGGAGAAGATGTACGGCAATGAATGTCAGCCATCTTCTCGCGTCGAAAAACTCCCGACTCGAGGAGACCGCAAATTGCAACCTTAGCAACAATAAGGTACGAGAGAAGACCATGAAACTGGCCTTAGTGCCCAAACTTTTCAATCCTTGAAAATGTTACATAGCAGAGGTGCTTAATATATGACTAAAATTATTATTTATTAATTTACATGAATTTTCAAAAATATAACGGTTTTTAACTTAGCATACATTTTTTCGACAGAAACGTCTGCCTTGTTCAGTGCTAGTTACATGTATGCAAATGCAAAAATTGTCCTTCTATATTTGAAGATTACTGTAAGCTTGCTACTACTGTGTAGACCCTCAGTATTATATGTGAATAAAGCGACATGCCCGCCTTATTTTAGTTGTGGTTTATTTTTGGTACGCCGGATCAGTTATTACACAGGGAACGCTTTATTATGTGGCGCAGAGCTATTTTTCTCCTTTTATTTGCAAGCCAAAGTAATACTAAAGTACACTTAAGTGCAGATGCTTGCTCGCTAGATTGGCCGGGGGGTACCCCTGGGAATGATTGGTGGGGATGTGCCGCCTTGTTCTCCAAATCCTTACCCTATTTCAGACCAAAAAATTTCATTTTTCCGAGTTCCCCCGGGCCTCTGTATCAAAACGAGGTTAAGTGCTCAGCCTTTGATATGAAAATGACTCTCCATTCTCATGCAAATAAAACTCATTTTCACTAGAAAGGTTGTGCCCTTGGCCTCACTTTGAAAAGGAGGGTTTTTGGAACTCGGAAGTGGCCTATTGAAACGATGAATACGTTCATACGCTCCTACAAGTTCACTCGAGAACTGTACCAGAGTCCAGACCCAAATGGGCAAACTTTATTCCCTTTTTTAGACCAAAACGGCGCCAAAACCCTTCCCTTTTGGGCGGCACACACATTTATGGCTTATATAAGAAAGAACTCCCCCCCCCCCCGGGCTACAAGTACATTGTCGCCAACATGCACTGGAGTTGGCCAGCCTTAAGAGGCTTCCAGAGTCAAAAAATGTAAAAGTGATCACAAAAAATGTATCCCTTCCTACCTATATTTACCCTCGGCAGTGTTCAAAACGCAAATGCTGCTGGATTGGTGCTGAGTGAATTCCTAAAATAACTAATAATATTCAAATAAAATACAACCTTTGTAAAAATCCATACTTTTAGAAGGTAAACCAGTTGGTTTTTATTTTTAAAGCGTGGCCATGGAATTGATCACTCAAAGCTACCGAGAAACAAAACTAGCTAGTGCTCAGCAGGACAGGTCTTCGATGAACACGGAACTTCGGATCGCAAGTCTGGGGCGCGCTAAGACTAACTGCGTTGCCACGCTACTCAGTCACCCTAATCCACTGCCAAGCCTGTCAGTTCATCCTATCACCCGGCATAAGACAGCGTTCTGATCAAAGGCCAGAGACTCATTCCGTTCTCTTTAGAACTGTAACTAGACTCCGTGGCATGGCTGATGTCACTCCTTCAGCGTTGGGTTTGGGTTATTTATTATAGTTCACTCTTGTTTGACCAGACTGGACATATTTTTGAGTTTTCGTCTTCAAAGCTACGGAGAAAACATTCCCCAGCAACTGAAAGAGAATGCTGGAACTGAAACAGGAATTAGTGACTGTCAATCCATTTCCGACGGTTATATCGCGCTGCCAGCAAGTATTAAGAAAAAGGGAAAGGTTCTGCCACTAACTATGTGCCGGCCGGCTCCATTAGTGGCTGGATTACCAGGCCAGGAGCCCATTCCTCGAAGTTCCGATAATTAAAGGACCCATTTACATTTAAGATAGAGACTTCAAAGGTTTTGCAGGTAACATGATAACAATAAAAGTTAACAAAACAAAATGGACGGGTTTGTTAGCTTGGACCTTCGCTCTTACTCTCACTCTGATTTTAACCCAAAAAGTTACTGACGGCTTCCTGAAGGGCAGTAGCCGGACGAGAATTCTTCCAGGAAGCAAAATAGGAAAAACTGTTCCAGTCATTCATTTAATGTTTTTGGCAGTTACTCTATTGCTCATGTTTTGTTTATTTTTTTTTTGTAATGGTAAGATTCAAAGCAGAGCTAACAAAAAAATAATTTAGGCTAGAGTATGCACGCGCCGATTGAATGTAAAATCAAAAGGACAATTTGAACGACTGAGTGCAGTATGATCGAGCTCATTGGCTTTATGGCCAGCTAGCAAGAGCGAAATGGTTGCCTAAAAATCACGAACCATGCTATCCCTGACACTTGGTGAAGAAGGTAAAATTCTGACAACGTAACAGCGACAACCGTTAATTAATAGGAGGGTCTGGTAATCCAAAATTTTGTGCAATCCCATAATCCCGAGCGTTAATTTTGGCATCCTACCTCCCGCACATACTTGCAATCCCGAATCTCACTAAGATTTAGCTTTACAATTCCGAATCACGAGCTTCAAATAAAGGAATCCCGAATCCCGAAAAACCTTTATTGGGGATTCTCTCTTGCTAATAGACTAATAGTTAGATGCTTTCACCACTAAATAATGACTAAAAAATTTCCTTTTATACACAATACACGCCGTCAACACACGCTTCAATATTATCATTTGTAGCGTGTGTTAACATAATTTGAGTGTCCTGGGAGATAGCTTCACAACGAACAGGTATTCAGAAGAGCACGAGGTATTAAAACGCTTTTGTTCACCGTGTTCTCGAATGCTAACAGTGAAGTGCGGCAGCACATGGTATGCGAGGGATAACCTTCTTTAGCATATATTAATAAAACGAAACAGCACTTGTTCATTTTCCAAAAAAAGCTTTGCCGCAGCCACCCAGTTTGATTAGAGCGTTAGTCAGCACTATGAGTTAAGAAAACATGAGTTACTCGAGATGACATAAAAGGACGACGACCGCCACAACACAATACATTTGACATTAGAAGCCGAACACACTCGTAAATTGGACGGATAAGTATCAGTTTGGAAGGTTTTTAGTATTAAACTTCTTCACAGAAAAACGTACACTTTCACTTTCGAGGCTTGGCCAATTTCTGCGTTAATAAACCATAAGCAATATTTAAACTGTTTCCACCGTTTATAAGCGGGAGAAAGTGCCTAGGAGAATTTTAATCGTCGGGGTCTCTAATTCATCGGTTTTTGTTTTTTGCTTTTTTTTTTAATCAAGCTCTTCTTTTATCTCATTAGGATTCTTTCAGTTTTGTTTTGTCTCAGCCCAAACTCGTCAAAAATCTCCGAGTTTGGCTCAGTTCAGATCGGCAGAGTGATGTTGTTTTGCGAAGTCCTCGTGGTTCTTTTTGTATTTATCATCTTAACACGTGCCAAGCATGGAAACCACTATATTGCTTCTTATTTTCTTCCAGTTGATTATTTGATTTTAAATTTACTAATCATCACCAAGTATGCCATTACTATAAACAGGTGTATCCAAAAACGTTGCTTAGATTGCTCGGCAAAATAAAAAATTTTTAGGGAGAACACATGGTCAACCTTTCACTATTCATATAATATATAACAAGTGCTTTTGTTTGATTATCTTTTCGTAAAATATTTTCTAGCTAAGACAATTTTTTTTGGCAGACGGTATGACCCGGTTCCTTTTAAAAGGATCTATTTTAGCTTTTTAACATTGAAAATGTTCATCTGAGTGTGCTGAGCAATCAAATTGAGCCGAGGCTGAAAATATTGATACTATCATGGAAGCAAAGTATAAAGTTAAACATATCCAAGTAAA